TCAGCCGGTTTTCGAGCTCCAAGATGCAGCGACCAGCTCGCTCGACCTCCGCCTCCTTCTCTAGCAGCTTGTTTCCAGCTGCTTCGAGTAAAGTGCAGTAGTGCCGCTGACGTCTCTTTGCAAATTCTCGCCGGAGTTGCTCCGTCTGATTCGCGAGAGAAATAGATGAATATAATTGGGAATCCTTGTGTTTCCCTCTACCAGTGGAGTGGAGTGGAAAGAAAATTAAAATATTACCTGAGCAGTGATGAACCCATCAATTTCGTTATCCTCTTTGTTAATCAGGGCGGCAATCTCTTCTGAGAAAGAAGCCGTGAGGAGGGAATCGGGTTGTTCTTCTTTGATCCGGTTGTTCGTTTGCTCGGCTAAGGCGAGGTGGAGACCGGTAGATACAAATGGAATCGTCTGCGATCGTGCCGACGAGGGATCGAATACTGCAGGCGACTGTAATGGGAAGGGAATCTGCTGCTGCGATGGCGCTGCAGACGGCGTCGCCTCTTTTGCTCTCTTCCACCGGTTTATATTTTCTGCAACACCTCTTCTCAGTAAACAATAAAAAAAAGAAAAGAATCGGAAAGGGGAAAAAGCGAAAAAAGTCACACCTCCATTGGAGGAGAAGAAGAGATGGGATTGGTCGAACAAAGGAGGGGCCATCTCCCCGTCATTCATCTCACTCTCATCTCTGCGCATCGCGGAGCCCAAAAACTCAGTCGGGAGTCGGGAGATCAAAAGGAAGAAGATAGATCAAGCGAGTGATACCTGCTGTGAAACAAAACGTTGGATGGGTAATGCGCTCGCACGGCCATTGTCGAGGCTGGTTGGTGGAAGTGGAAGGAAGATATGCAGAGCGGAGAAAGAAGAAAGAAGGCGAGTGAGGGGGAAGGAGGAGAAGACTAGTTTTTCTAAGCGTTGGAGGTCGTGTTCGTAGCTTGGCGTTCTTGCGCGCGCGCCCATCCATCCATTCAAGGAAGAAAGAACGCGGACGAAGGAAACGTCGGTCCTAAGAGACCACACCTTCCTCTCCTCGCCTTTTTGATTTGTGCTGCTCACTCGATAACCAGATGGCGCGTGAGATGTGCTTCATCTAAAATAAATAAATAAATAAATAAATTTTAAATTTTAAATTTAAATGACATTTCTGTTTTAAGTCGTAATTATATAAATGTAGAAAATTTATATACATACCCCATAATTTTTATGTATTTATATATCTGAAATTTAAAATTTGCTACATTTATATTTATAGTATTTTGATGTTATAAACTCAACTATATGATGAAATTAAAAATTATGATAATTTTTTTAGGATAACATTTTTAGTGATATGTATGTAAATATAAAAACTTATGTGTTGGATATGTAAAAAGGTATGAATTCTGCGGTATGTTTATAGAGGCCCTTATTTAAGACTTGGCTTTTCATCAAATGAATTATTAGTTGGATGATTTACATAGATATCACTCAATTTCTTTGTATTTACATATCTAACATGTATACTTTAATATTTTACATACATCTCACATTTCAATGCATGAAAATGTGCCGTATTTTTTATTAGACAGGAAATATTTGGGTGAAATAAATGTAAGAAATTAAAGTATAGGTGTTAGATGTGTAAATACATAAGAATTTGGTGTTATGTACGTAAACGCCCTTAATTTTTCTACATTAATTTCTCAAAATTCATGCTCATATTTAAAAAGTGAAAATTTCAATGTTATATATGTAATTCCACTTTTTAAATCATGTCAGGTTTAACCTTTTGAATGGTATTAAATCAATTTAAATTGTTGAAAGAAAAACCGAAAGAAGCTGAAAAAACTGTAGATAATCCTAGTTATTAAGCGGCTTCAGCTGGCCCGAAATCCCGCTTAAGCCCTAAATCAAGCAAATCGGGGCTTATGTTGGGCAGCTTTAAAATGTAGCCTCTTTAATTGTTTAAAAAACAATTTATATTATAAAAAAACATATAATATTTTGCTCAAATGCGTAAGCATATTGATTAGAAATATAACACGCAATCAATTGATTTGTAACAAACACATTATTGATATATCTTATTAAAATGTAATCAGTTGATAAATTACATTCTCACACATATTGGGCACAAATCATGTTCATTGTGGGTTAAATGAAGTACTGGTGATATGTATCTAGATGAAGTATATATGGGAGTCAATGAGTTTCAAACTTTTGACTTTTAGATGAAATGTCCAACCACTGAGCCATCATCTCATTTATACTTAAAGTATATTTTGCAAATTATAGCAAACCATTTGGGTCTAATGTCACCCAAGATATGAAGTGAGAGTTTTAAGTTTTGTACAATTAGGCAATATAATCTGGGTCTAATGTCAGTTCCACAATCAGAGTTATGGCGTCGTTTATGAAAAAGTAGGGCTCAGCTAGGCCCGCAAGACTAGCTAGCGTGCATGGGCCCACAAAAGATCATTTATTGGGATACAACCTTCTAGGCCATCAAATATATTTAATTTTTTATGAATGTGTTAACATTAATATTTTACTATATTTATCACAATTATATGTAATTATTAAAAATTTTAAATTAACACATTTTCATAAAATTATTAAGAAGATGACTAAAAATACAACAGAAAAAGTAAGCAACTATGGTAATATTTTTAAAAATTAAGCACCGGGAAAGTCACAAAGAAAGTCAAGCAACTATGGCTTCTTGTCATTATATGTTTAGAGAATATTGTGAAGTTGTAATATTGACTTATCATTTTTGTGTAGAACTTCGAAGATTAAACAAAAAATGTCATGGGAATTTATAAATTTATATAGCGAGGATAAGCATGATGTGTGGCGCCAAACAGAGAAATACACATCATTTGCTTGGCAATAGGCTTAGTGATAGATTACAATAGTGTCTTTCATTTTAAATAGATGATTAAAAAGGCTTCGTTTTCAAATTTTGATTGCTAGATTCTAAAACAAAATTTATATATTTTATTTTATAAAGGACCATAGTTAATGCTATTGTCATTATCATTACCATCATCATCATCATCATGACTAGTAATATTATTATTACTATTATTATTATTATTACCTTAATTAAAAATGCTAATGAATGGTGAGCAATAGCCATCTTTTGGTTATTAACAAAAAGATTATTGGCCTAATTTATTACCTTAATTAAAAATGCTAAAGATTATTCATAAAATTATATATAATCTTGGTATGATATTTTTTATCTGCCTATTTTATGTTATGTTTTGCTATTATTAAAATTCGATTAGTTTTTGAAGAATTATGGTTCATGAACTAGTAGGTATTCATGATAATAGGTTAAAAAATTAGGTCAATAATCTTTTTGTTAATAACCAAAAGATGGCTATTGCTCACCATTGGTTAGCATTTTTAATTAAGGTAATAATAATAATAGTAGTAATAATAACAATACTAGTCATGATGATGATGATGATGGTAATGATAATGACTATAGCATTAACTATGGTCCTTTATAAAATATATATATAAAGTAAAATAGAGAATGTTTAGAGGCTATCATACGAGTCTCCAGCTACCCATAATGTGCCTAAAAATTCGAGTGCCACCTCAGTAAGACCATCAGTGTCAGAGAGGATTTAATTCCCCGTCCTGAGGGGTCTTATACCATGTATATAAACCAACAAGCCGGGGCACACACACTGTTGGCTTTACGGATCACAAATACTATGGGACATGCTAATGCTCACATTACTCAGAATATGTACAACTTTAAATTTAAAATTTTTGAATAGACAAGATTTCAGATCGTAATCTAGCATTACTTTCTTAAATTTGGAAGTATATAGGAATATAATTTAATTTCAGGTTAGGTGATCCACCTAATATGCTAAGAGAACATGCCTCTTTTAAGAAAATTCACCTTTTCTGTGAATTTTATTTCATATCTCTGGTGCTAAATAATCAGTGCTTTGTTGAACTGATAGCTCGGCACAAAATTGGAGCATATTACATAAGCTACAGAGTATGGTCGGTAAAAAAAGCTTCGGATTCTTGATCAAAAGGTCATTTGTGAAGACTATAATAGTCAGCACTACGGAAGTTAATTATAGATTCAGAAATAACCATCAGTGGAAGCCATGTTGGATTAATTACTGCCAAGTATGTCGGATCAATTTTACGACAACTGTTCTAGTCCAGATTAGAATGATGAGGTGATCGGATGCACCAACTCGTTCTAAAATAGACTCGAAAATTTGGGTTGAGATTGATCTGGATTATTTTCGGGTCATGTTAGGGTTAAAAATCGTAATTAATTTGATTATTTATGTCAGGTTCAGGTTGACCCATCAACTCAATAAAAATAACAAAAAAAAAACCTGCAAATCCTGAATCGACGTGAAATCAACCCTTTAGCCCGAAATTGACTCATGATTAATTGACTCAAGATTAACTCGAATTTGACATGAATATTATTCTTTATGTTTAATGATTTATACTGGTAGATTCGGTTTTTCGGGTGGAGGACGGGTCATGTTCACGCTGGACTTTGTGAGTTGTTTAATATTCAAGTGGGATTCAAATGATGTAGTTTCAAGTTGGGTCAATTTCAGGTCAGTTATGAATCCGATTTGACGCCATTATGAGACGAGAACTTGTGAAGTTCTCATGAAATTGCTCATAGTTGGCAATGGTTATTGTCAACTAGACAAAGATGTTGTCAACCATCCCAAACATATAATGTTACTTATTTGACCTGCAGTGCTACTCGTCAGCTTGTAGGGTCACTTTAAGGTCACTCACCTCTATCAACCAGAGTTACTCGCCTTAACACACACACAATTTGCGACGACAACGAGAGTCGACAGACAGCCTGCTATGGCAGTGTCTAGCGGTAACGGTTGCCAGCGGCGGTGCAGTTGATGGCCGTGGTGGCTACAATGGTAATCACTATCATTTAAGTGTATTTGATGATCGCCCCGAATCTATAAAATCACAAACACGCAATATTTAAGTTGTAGTTTCTAGCACCGTCAAAAATATATTTGAATTTAAGCAAATAAATTTTACGTGCTTCAACCTGCCTAGTTAGATCTAATAAATACACAATATTACTCGACCTAATTAACTTACATAAAAATTATATCTTCAGAATATGACATAAAGGTTAGATGAGCTGTTAGAACAAATTGATGATAACAATTGAGTCCTGTACAATTAACACTGTCAAACAAAAATTAAATATATTAACAATTTAATGCATGATTTTATTTTCAAGAATTTACACATAAGTCTCAATTATCCCCTTTGAAGTTTGAATAGATCATTTTATATTTCAATTATTTTTAATGCTTTATGTCCAATATAATGCTAATATAAGCAGCTAATTAAAATGTGGTCCGGAAAAAGATAAATTCGACTGACTGTAATAGAATAGGTCAAATCTGGGAACTTGCAAAGCTGGGCCTCTTATGGCACCTCATAGCCGTGGTATGCTTTGATTGCCTCATTTATATCAGTCACATTAAATTATCTGAGATAAAAATTGATATGCCTTGAGCAAATGTTCAACATCTAGCATGAATTTCTAGGAATGAAATGGATCTTGATGCACTTTTTGGAGTAAGAAAAGTTCAAACTTTGATTAAAAGTTATCTAAGCCTCATTTCAACAAACCAATAGTCAAATTGATCGGATCGATGAAACGGGCCCAGTGATGCCAAACTTCGTCTAATCTTAGTCAAATTAAGCTCAGGTCAAGTCATCAAACCACTCTTGAATGCTTTCCGCAGATATTTGAAAAGTCAAATTGGTGTTGAATCTAGTGAGCTCATGATCGTATCGAGCATCTCAATAAGATAAATCTAATGAGCATAAGACTGCTTAATTCTGACATCGTTAAGACTCTCAAATGTCCATCAAATGTTGTCTAATCAAAGGAAACACTTTAGGTCGTTCAATCAGAGTGGTTCATAATCTCTGTTAATTACATTGGGTGTCGGTTTTATTTTCATTTTGAAATGCATTTTGATTTTGAAAATTAGTTTGATTTGAAAATAAGACCTAACTAATCTCGAATATTTGATTGTTTAAA